GAATGCCTCTTCCCCTCCACCAGTGCCGGTGTACTACCCATACTGTGCTCTGTATTTTGACTTTTGATCGCAAATAATGAGCACTCATTGGTCAGTGCGGTCATCTAACCACTCTTGCACCACGCTCATGAGGTGTTATTATGGTCATGTGACTGCTGTAATACATGTTGCACTTTTTTTTTTAGTTATAAATGTGACTTCTATTTTATGGACAGCACAGTGGCCTTGAAGCTTGGCCTGGGGGTCCAAGGTTCAAGTCCCAATCAGGACACTAGCTGCAAGGAGTTGCAAGGTTTTCCCTGTGCTTTCATGGATTTCTGTGGGTGCTCTACTGTTCCCCCACCCTTCGAAGGTTAATTGGCTTCTGTCTAAATAAGACATGTGTGCATGTGAGATAGGGACCTTAGGAATTGCAGGCTCCTTGAGGGCAGAGACTGATGTGAGTGTGCAGTATGTAAAGCACTGCATAAAATTGTCAGCGCTATATGAATACCTGTATTAAGTAAATGTTATGTGATCCCACTAATATGATTCCCTGCTCCAGTAGCTTTTATTTTACAGATGCTTTGGCTAGTTGGCTAGGAGAGGAGCCCTTCGGAACCCCTAATATTTAACCAAACAATTCAGACCATAGGTATTGACTAGGTAAGAGAACCAAAGGATCCCTTGCCAATTTAATTTGGAGTGGAATTTTTTTTAAATAAATGAATAATTTTTTTTTTAAATACCCAAAACTGTAATTAACGGAAAAAGCTCTTATAAATATACTGGCTTTTTCTGTCAAGGTAATTTTTTACTTCTCTTTGAGACACTAATAAAATCACTTTGAAGACTCAAATTTTACTCTTTGATAAACACAATTCCAATTGCTTTGAGTTTAAGTGATATACTTTATTGATTAACTTAGGTTGTTAAAGATGTAGGCTTTGGGATGACTTAGATCTCTTCTTCAGGTGTTATGCAATTCTGAAAAAGGTTTTCAAACCCACATTTTTTTGTACATAGAATTACTAGAAGGTGCAATGAAATATAACTATTTAAAAATACAACAATTTTTATTGACATACTTGATTAGTAATGACTATTGTAAAAGGTTAAACTGGGTACACACAGTTAGACTCTCCTTGTGTTTTCTAATTAGTAAATTAAGTTAGTTTTCTAATACCTAATGGGGTCAAATCGACAATCAATTTTGGCCATAGTGACAAAAAAAATTGAAGGAGCAGGATGGAATATTTTTCTCAAACAAAATTCTAACAGTGAATGTGGTTTTTGTTCGGGAAACTTCCTTAATTTTCAGAAGTGAATGGTAAAAGCAAATGAAATTTCGAATGACATTCATCAAGTTTCTGTTGGCTTTATCACATGTTCTCACTGGACTTTTCATTCAAAACTCTTCTAGTGTATACCCAGTTTAGGGCTCTAGAGATAAGAGCTTAGGAGTGGTATTGGGGTAATTGACTCAGAGACAAGAAATTCAGGCACAATCTTTACCTTAAACGGGGGTTCTTTTGAAATGTGAATATACCAGAGAAGCAATGAGATACAGTAGAAGCAATAATGAAATACATCTATTTTCTTGACACTCTTGAATAGTAATGGTTATTGTAAATAGCAATCAAAGGATGAAATACCCCAAAAGGTTAGACTCCAGTAAAGTCAAATTTCATCCGGGTATGGGAATTTTTTTTAAAATTATTATTATTGTTTTGTAACGTTTTTATTAATTATTTCTGTTTTTGTATTCTTTATTTCTGTTTTGTATTCTTTTTTTTTTTTTACAATAGAACGTGATAAATATGTCTACAGTTTTGTATGTCTACATGTTCTGTATGGTCAGGACATTGGACTGTATGCTCCTTTAAAGCTACAGAATTGAATAAAATGAACAATATGCATTGTAGGAGTTACAGGAGTTACAGGAGACAATATCACGAGGATTAATTTATCAATTGCAAATTATTACTAGTATTAACGACACCTACAGTATGTTTAATGCTGCTACTAATGAACATACTACAGATGATGTTATACCGCATTTTACTATTACTTGTTATTTATTATTTTTGTTTTTAATGATGAGATATGTGGTAATATACGCACTGCTGTAGATTATCAGGATCATTAATTCTTGCTGTTAACGCTATTATTTATGTATTATGTAATATTATGGTAATTTTTTTTTTATAATTTTGCAAAACATATTTTAATGATTACATTTATGTAACAGAAAAAATGTATTATTATTAATATTATTATTATTGCTTAAAACTTTTAACAAAAATTATCATTACATAACATAAATGAATTCATTTTATTAGCAATATTGCATCAAACAATAAACTTAGCTGTGAGGGAGTTAAAATGTATAAAAGCTTTAATTTAATCTCTTGTAAATTACAACATTATGCTCTCTATATTTCCAAGAACCACTATCCGCTCTGACATTGTTTTTTCCCCCCATACTTTGTGTATTTTCATGCAAATTCTAGCTTCTGTGCCTCAAGGGATTGGCCTGGAGGGGAATTCAGCCAGGATTTGATTTATAGTACAATTGCAGCAGTTAGTCCATTTTAACTTTTCTAGTTAGCCATGCTAACAGCTCTAACTTAAAAATTAAACCATTTAAGTGGAACAATATTTATTGTGCCATTACGGGGAAACCTCTTGGTAGAACAGGGCCTCGATCCGGGTCAAACTTCAAAGAAAAGCGATGCCAACAGAGGAAGAAGGGTCATATAAATATGTATGAGTGTGCATACTGTGACCCGCGCAAGTCATTGCAGAGCACCTGGGAGGGTGTAAATCCCTATTTTTCTAAAGAATAAAGAGCCGTGGGCAATTTTCTTCAGTGACTGATTTTTTTTCCCTAAGAATGCAAACTGGTTAATCCATATTTTCCCAAAATTATCACATGAAAGAAAGACGATAGACTAAAAATGGAACACAAATAAGTTACCAAAATTAATATCTTTTCCTTTTTCTCTCCCTTTTCTTTAATTCTCCAATTTTGTCTCCAGTGTGATCGCTGCCTGCCTTTATACAACGACAAACCGTTTCGTCAAGGTGACCATGTGAATGCATTCAACTGCAGGCCATGCCAATGTTACAACCATTCATCCAGTTGTCATTATGATGCTACTGTTGACCTTTACCCCCATGACCACGAGTCCGGGGGAGGGGGAGTGTGTGATAACTGCTTGCACAACACTACAGGTAACAGGTTCAGGTGTAAAGCCTTAAAGTAGCTAAATTAATTACATCTGATTTGCGAAAGCACTATGTGTCATAAACAATTTCCATTTTTTTATTATATAATGCTTGTTTTTTTAATCCTTTGTTGCATTGCTGATGATATCCTACAGCCTCTTTGCAGCCACTTCTTGTCTACATGCACATAAACAGCACACCAGTAGAAGTTGTCAGAAAAAGAGCAACAGTAAAGAGAATTTACCTTTACGGCAACTTCACACCTATGCATTATGGTAAAACGTACATGTAAATCACAGTAGTACTTCTGATAACATAGTAGTGCGGTGCCAATCGTATCGGAAGGTAATCCAGTGCGCCTTAATATATCTGCATTAATGTTCTGCAAAGGGGTCCTAAACCATAAGTTGTAGTAGCATTAATAATAACCATCAGAATACTTTTATATGAATAGATAATTGTTAAAAGAGAACTATGGGGTAAGTGTTTTTCCCCATAGTTCTCTTTAGGGTCACGGGAGGACCTTTTACTAACCTCCACCCATGACCCAAAGCTCAGTATATCGCAGGCTATTGCCCGTGATATACAGAGAGCGCTGCAGCCGGGACTGATCCCGGCAATACTGTCTTTACCCATCCAGCTGCGTGAGTGACAGCGATGGAGGAACGGAGTGGGGAGGGGGAAATCCAGTCAGCGGTCACAGTCAGCTGTGACTGACAGTGACCGCTCTCTGCAGGGAGATGATCGGAAAGTTAGCGAGCGACGGTATGTGTTCGCTCACTTCCCAATCAATAGAGCCGACCTGTGACAGCTTCTTTGTCACAGGTCGGCTCTAACTATGAGGATGAGTGGAAATCACTCACCTCATAGCTCTCCTTTAAAGCTCTATTCCCCTAATGAAAACTTCTTTAAACTATGGCTTTTTGTTGCAGAACTACAATCCTTAGCTGCCTCTTTATGTTTTGGCGGAGTGCCTAGAGTTGCAGCAAAAGTTTTCAGGGGATATATATATATAAAAAGCTCTATCTGTCCCCAAAAAAGGGTATAAAATTCATTTCAGTACATCGCTGCATGACGTAATAAATGTCAGTTAAAGTACCGCAGCGCTGAATACTGAAAAATGGCCTGGATGGGAAGGGGGTTTAACACCGCGGATGTCAACTGGTTAAACCATATTGGTTTAGTCTTTGATCTTTTATTTTTGCTCCCTAAAGGTATACACTTTGAGTATCGGCTGATGGTGGAAGGTGAGTGGGTGGCCGGGCCGCCGCAGTGCTGGAGGAGGCCTGGCCCTAGCAGCGCCGGGCCCCAGCATTGCCGATCCAGCGGCATCTGAGCAGGCTGGGGCACATCGGCGCCACTGCTCTTCTGATCTCGGACAGGCCAGCAGTGACATTATGTCACTGCCGGCCTGTCTGAGATCAGAAGAGCAGCGGCAGAGGTGGACAGGTGAGCAGGTAAGAGGAGCTGGGAGGGAGGGGGGAGAGAGATGCAGGGTCACTGAGCCCTGCGTCCAGCGGGTCACTGAGCCCAGAGTCAAATTCATATACTGTTCTGCATTGCTGTATAAATGTATTGCTGGGATTTGTAGTCCCCCTACAACTGGTGCCATTGTGCATTAGAGTGTAAGCTCCTCTGTGCAGAGACTGATGTGACTGGCTCAGTGTTCTCTGTACAGCACTGCAATATAGGTCAGAGCTATATAAATGTATAATATTAATAGTATGTGACTGTAGGGGGACATTAGAGTGTAGGTTCCTCTGTACAGAGACTGATGTAACTTGCTCAGTGTTCTCTGTACAGCATTGTGGTATATGTCAGAGCTATATAAATGTATAATAATAACAGTGTGACTGGCTCAGTGTGGTGGCAGTGTGGGGGGGTCGGTGGTGCAGGGGGGGCCCCCGGCCTAAAGCCGTGTAAGGGGCCCCAAAACTTCTGATGGCTGCCCTGCATACACTGCTAAGACAGAAAAAGATATCCTCCTTACTGCATACTGCAAGGGGGATCTGTGGCTAGCGATACTGATGACTTCCCATGTAGGTCTGACATCAGCTCTTCTAGACTAGAGACTTCACAGTTTAATTTGCCTCATCAGCCTTTTTAATGGGGCCATCCTTCAACCCCCAGGCCCCAGAGCAGCTGTCTAGACTGCTATGCCTGTATTCATACCACTGGGGATAGCACTGTCACATAGTGGGCTGGTAGATGGTCCTCAGCCATGTGTAAGCATTGACTAGAGCTTACCATGAGTTTATTACGTTCAGATCTGGCAGATGAATGGAGCAGTGAAAGAAAAGTAATAATACTCACCAGTAGAGCAGCTGATGAGCCCAATCTTTGCTCTCTTACAGAGCTACACCAGCTTAAAAATCTTCAGCAGTCAACCCTTCTGGGTGAGTCAGATGCCTGCTTTACCTGCTATGTGCTGTGGTTCTACATGCCAGCCTTTGTTTCACTAATGTTTTCCTGAATATCTGTAGTGATGAAGGGGCCGGAAGAAGAAACCACAGAATGCAGCGGGCAATGCAGGCATCTAATGAATCCTGAAGTGTTGGATGCTAAAGATTCTTTGGCCGCTGTAGCACTGCAATAGAGTAAAGATCAGAGTTAACAGCAGGAAGGGTAAGTATTATTACTCTGAAATTGAAGGTACTCCTTACTCATAGCCCCTCATCTTGCAAATGCAAATATCTTCAAAAAGACAATAAAAAATCATGTACTGTACACGCAACAACACAAATATGTAAAACACCTTGATCTGGGTTCCCACGCTTCCGAGAGTTCAGGTGACATCACTGCCTACAAGGAGAGCTAGGTGCTTGAATTCTTATGGGAATGCTCTGTTGCACTGGGTCAGAGTGAATTCCTGTGAGATTTCAAGTTTTGAATAGCTTTTTTTAAGCCATTTGTGTTGGGGGGAGGCAGGGGGGGGGGCTGGTTGTGAGTAAAGCAGACCTTCAATTTCAATGGAAAGCCCTCTTACGAGTTGCTAACAATGTAGCTTACATAGGTGTGTTGGATACTTTTCATGTGACATTGCTGGGCCAATCAGCCAGCCCAGTATGTCACAAGCCCTGAAGTACTGGGTATTTTCTTTACTCCTCATGGATGAACAGAGTGTTGGGGGAGCAAAGGAAAGGAGAGTATGTGCTGCTTAGATTAAAGCAAACTTGTTGTTTGTCCTACAAGGACAAAGCACAGGTTTGCTTTAAGCTCACCTTACTTTCAAAGCTGACACAAGCCGCTTTTTGATTTTTCCATTTAAGGGAAAAGACAGCACAAACCTTTTTCAACTGAAAAGTTTGGGATTTTGAGACTGGCCTTACGCTGCATGTCTTTCCAGAGACACAACTTTGGGTTATAGAGCAGATGGAAGTTAAATGAGGTAAAACACCGTTTGAAACAGGTTCATAGTTTCATATGCTGTGGATCACTACATTGGCAGGTAGAGCTGAAAGGTGCATTAAAACGGACATTGTGAAAATCAGAATTCTCCCCCCAGGAGCAGAGACTTTAAATTTGAGTCTCGCAGATCATTTTAATAAATTTGAAGATTGAGCTTGTGACCCTTGTCTCTTGCAGGAAGAAACTGCGAAGTCTGCAAGGATGACTTTTTCCGGCAATTTGATGCCGACCCAGCTGCCACTGACGTTTGCCAGCCTTGCGACTGTAACAGGAAAGGCACTGTTAACAAAAGTCATGACTGTGAAAAGGTAATGATGGCAAATGATTGGGAGGAATTTGACCTTGGAATTTCTGTCTTTTCAAAAAATCCATCATGCATTTATCTGTACAGTAATGTGTGGACACTCATGAAAATATTCTTGGAATATTAAACTGATGCTGTCCCTATGTGAAGCAATTTGAACAAGAGACAGACTGTTAAATATGAAGCTCTGTACTTACCTTTCCTGTGGGCAGTTTTTCCTCTCTTGAAGATCTTAGGGCACTTCCAGGTATGTGTAGTGTGTTACCGCTGCCCCATATGTCTTATTTTACAGATTGTCTCATGTTCAAATTGTTTACATAGTGACAGGATCACTATAAGCATCATATTCACAGTAGCTACCCTTCATTGGTTAGAGATTTTTTAATTCTAGTCAACAGTCATTTTAACAAAATTAATTTTGGAGCAAAATTACCAAAATTGCCAAAATTCCACAAAAAGTGGAAGCTCTAAAGTTGGCTTACATTACTGATTATTCAAATGTGTTTGTTATGTGTGTGTTGTCACTTTAATTTTTTTACATCTTTTTTTATCTCTGTTAAAAAAAAACGTGAAATAATGAGTTTAACAAGAATACTTTTTTGGCACAAGAACAGGTCCAGGATGGATGAAAGGAGCTTCCATAACCCTCAGGGGCATTACACCCTTAATACCTACCTTTATTTCCCCTCTGAAATGCATTTTGCCAACATGGCTATAGTTACTGGAATCTGCTGTTGTTTACCAAAACTTTGAGACAATGAAAATTCTCAATTTTACTTATCCCAACTTGACAATTAATGAGTTCACATTTAAGAGTATTTGCCTAAGGCATTCACCCATTGCAAGACATTTAAAGAAAGTGGGAGGCAAGACACTGAGATCTGTAAGTAGCCATTAGCGGCTCAATAATCACTTGCAAGGTAGGGGTGATGGTCAGGTGTCCACAAACATTTGGCCATATTGTGCATATTTCCTATTTAAAAACTTCCTGAAGTGTGGAAACTATGCCAAAAAATGTAAGCAGATGGCAAAAAAGTAGTCACTAGCTGCAGCTGATCTTTTCTCCGTTACTTTCTATCCCTTGTGCACTGTGTCTCTGTGTTGAGGTAGATATGTGTTGGTGGAAAACGAACTTGACTTTTTTATGACAGAGCTGCTCCTGATTACTGGTGGAGTAATATTTAAGAAGCAGCAGGAAAGGTGGTGGAACTACACAAAATGAATGAAAAAGAACCAGAGAGATCCTTGCACTGCAGGTCCTCATGTACAGTTTCCTCTTCAGCATGGAGAACAGTGAGCAGCACAGTACTCAAAATCTTTTGTCACTAGCATTTAGAAGCAGCAGTGCCTCTCGAGCAGCAAAAATAGGACTAATAAATCAAGAACTAGCCTAAATTCGCACAGTGAAAGCCGCTGTTGCAACCCCCCTTCGGCTGCCAGCCCTTGATCAGCTTATCAAAGGAGCTGGTCGGAAAATCCAACAGCCAATAAGCTGCAGGAGCTGATGAACAGCGGGAGATTCCTGGATCAATGCTCATAAGCTTTGATGGAGGAATGTGTAATATTTTCTTCATTCAGCCTGCGGGTTGGACAAAGAAAACATTACATTGTATGGCCAGATTTAGCCAGATGTAGACACAGGCAGTACACTGCTGTTTAACTGTAGGAATGAGCAAACTTGGCTGGGTTTGTTTCAAGTTGGGTTTGGTGATTCCAGCAGAAAGGTTACGCCCCTGATTGCCACAATCAGCACATCACCATATTCCCCTAGAAGCTTACTGTAGTTTTGTCAGTGATGTCACTGAGTTTTTTCTTTTCTGCTCCTTCCCTTTTTAATGGGGATACCTGGCTTACATGCATCAAAAATAAACTTGCCACTGTAATTTATTTGTTATATCCTAGTGATATCCTTTGTTATCTTATTGAAAGGCAAGTACTTAAGAGATAACAAAGCATACTAATAAGAGCTCTTGGAAGTCTTTGCCTAGACACTTCTCTGAGGCTTCACAAGTCATTTATGTATTTTGCTAAAGTTCTAAGGAGACATAGAGTAATGCAGAGAGAACCCCTATTATTTGTGCAGCTGTGGGTGTGGGATCGGTAAGGCTATCCTTTGGCTTTCCTTTATACTCTTATGATAAATAAAAAATTGAACTGCCCTCTCAGCTATGTTTGTTGCTGTCTACCAGACTTACTACTGGTGATCCAGGTACTGCTTTTTTGGGCCCACTGTATGTTAGAGAGCAGCCTCGCAAATAAAATATTAACAGATCGCAATACAGAAGGCTGGCTCTGTATTCAGAAGGCAGGCTCTTTGAGACTTGTGACAGTGCATTGATGAAGTACATCCTATGGGCATCCTATGCGCATCTTCAATAAGTACGTTTACAAACTTCTAGATCAATATGGTCATTCGGAGTGGGATACCACAATGCGCCTCAATGTCGCAACGCACAGCAATGTTGCCATGCAGAGATGTAAGCGTGCCTTAATCAGACTCTTAGGCAGAGGAATTGCAGCAAAAACAGATAGCCACTACAGTGAAAAAAATTTACACGTGACACAGGAGTGAAAATAGTAGAAGAATGTGGGTTTTATCAGAAAATATTTTATGGTGTTTGAGAATGGAATATATCATGGTATGTGCGAGAACTTGTGTATTATAAATAAAGGTCCAAACATTTCAAAAAAATCTAGATTTTAAAATAAATGAACAAATAAAATAACTTGTTACTGTGGACAACTACTACAGATTCTGTCTGCTCCAGTTGTGATAAATTTCCCTCATGGCATTTCTTCCATGAAGGTCCTTGCTCAGGTTCTTCCTGGTATAGGGTGCCAAAGCTCTGTCCCTGTTTCCCAGTTGTGCTCCTGTGTTGTCACCTTGTCACATGGGCTTCTGATCGTGACTACAAGCTGCCATTGTGGCGCACTTTGCACAGGCATAATCTGCTGTTATCACCTTCAGGAAACCCGTCATTAAAAAATATCAGCACTGAGTAGTAACAAAGAATGAAAAAATATGAAAGCACACATTTAGTGATATTAAGAAAATTGAAATGTGTTTATGATACACAGTGATGTATTGTATCAATGATTTTCTGGGTAAATAAAAAAGTAGGAATAAATGGGATTGGCCCAGCTATGCTCAGCATGTTCGGCCGACCCGAAGTGCAGGGCTAAGCCGAACCAGATTACTGCTGTTCAGTCTATTCTTATAGATGCCGAACAGCAGTTCGGCTGTTCTGCTCGGTCCCTCTGTGGTACCGAGCAAAACAGAAAAATAGTTTAAAAAGTAGAAAAAAAGAAAAAGAAAACGATTGTGCGGAGCTAGCAATGGCAGCTGCTCCGCCCAACGGTTTTCTATTGGCCGGCGGTTCTGCTGCCGTCAAAAAAACGGAAAAAAAAACTCGCCCAATAGCAAACTATCTATTGTACCCATCCTCTGCTGTCAATCAGTAGTGGGGACCTGATGGAGAATTGCAGCAGAGGGCAGGTGCAATGCTAGTTTGCTATTGCAAATTGAAATAGCCAATTGGAATCTAGCAATGCATTCCTATGGCCAAAATTTGTTTTTTTTTTTTTTCACGGCTCCGTGTCAGAATAAAAAAAAACAAACCAGAAAAAGCAATGTTTCTCTCCTTGGCGGCCGGGAGCGGGAGACTCCCAGAGTGCCCGGGAGAGTTTGCTGTCTGGAGATCAGTGTCCCTGGTTAGCTGGTAAACAGGGATGCTGCGCCCAGCTGTCAGAAGCAGGCTGTCGGCTGGCCAATGGCCGGCCGCTCTGCCAGCTTCGACTTCTAGCGCGGCTCAGCCGAGCCGAGGAATATGCCTTCGGCTTGGCTGAGCCGCTTGGCCAAGTTCGGGAGCTGTATGGGCTATAGTGAATAGCCCTTACAGCAGCCCTTCGGTTTTCCAGGAATCTAAAAAAAATAACCCTTGCAGCATTGCAAGGGTTAAGGACTCATTTTGGTCTATGGACTCAAATAAAAAATATATACTCACCTGATCTTCAGTGCTGCCTGGCTGCTAGACTGGTCCCCACAGCCTCTTCTCTCCCGAGTTCCTGCTGATATCATCACGTCTAATGCAGTCTATTCACCTGCAATAGAATGAGTATGCCAAGAGACATATCACAGCCAGAGTGGGACGGGAGAGAGGTGAGCATTCACCGCCACAGGACTGAGGATCAGGTGAGCATATCTTCTGTATTCTGGCCTCTAGACCAAAAAGTGCATAGCCCCACTGCAAGGGTTCATTTTATACATTCCCAAGTTCCTCTTTAAAGTAATTTCAGAAGTAATTTTCTGTTTTAAATCTGCAGCTTTCATTAAAATAATATCTGGTGATCCTGCCTTAAAGGTCCTGACACTTCGTCTTATGGGTGACAACTGTCTCCCAATTGTCACTGTGTCACATGCACCCCGTGCAGAGACTACACATGTTCAGGCATACACAATGTAAGCATGGTCCACCATTGTCACTTTCAGGAAGCCAGTCCAAAGCAATGATATGCAGCTGATGCTGGAGTGGATGCATGTAGACAGGAAGTGACTGAAAGAGGTTGTAGCATAGAACAAAAAAAAGTGAAAACAGTATTTGGTGAAAGAAAAAAAATCACAGTAATTGTTCATGGTATGCAGTGCTTTAACAAACTTACAGGGTTATTCACAAAAGGGTGAAGAGTTTGGAGAAGGCAGGAGAAGTGAACAATCTAGGACAACATAGTTGAACTGGGAAGTGAGCTGAATTGGAGAATTTTTCCAGTTCAGCTATGATGTCCTAGATTGTTCACTTCTCCTGCCTTCTCCAGACTCTTCACCCTTTTGTAAATAGCCCTGTAAATGTTGTCCAGTTAGGGTTTAAACATACTTTAATAATTCAGAGCTACAACATAGTAATTACATTTTAATTACTATTTTATCAAGCAAAAATTTAAAAACTAGATCAGATAAGAAATTATATAATATCTGCGCAAACGAACTGAGAGCAGCATTGAGTGAAGCCAAAAACACAGTGGCAATGGAGGGCAAAGACAATGATTAAGGCACATTAAGAGAGAGATTAATAAGTCGGGACTGAAAGAGCTGAAATGAATTAGATGTTACAGAGAGAAGCCATTGAGTGGAATTTTCAAGAGCTGACCCGAGAAAGATGGAAATGTGAAAGGTAGAAGGATTCTACTCATGAAAATTAATCAGCGTGTTTAAAAGTGATGGTTTTTTATAATGTTATGTGGTAAAATGGGGAATTACACACTTTTCTGGCATAATGTACAATTGATGTCCAGAGAACATTTAAAAAAACTAAGTTGGCGTATACACTGCAGTTTAAAGGGGTTTTTCCAGGAAAAATTAAAGGACCACTCAAGACTAATAAAATGCTGTATAATAAAAATACGGATTTGATGAACAATTAACATTTTACCTTCTTTCCTTGTATTAAGAAAACAGCTAAGATGCAAATTAGTGGTTTTGTAGTGGATGTAAATACTCACAATGTTTATATCTGTTCCTACCGCCTCTTCATCACCATGCAAATGTATGCACAGCTCATGCAGGATCAGAGTGGGGAATGCTCACAGAACAACATAGGAGCTACGTTTTCTTTTCTTCTGATTAAAAGAGCTGAAGAGGAGATACCATTATATAGCCTGACTGTGTGTGATCTGGGAACACCGTAAGCAATATTTTAGCATAGGAGATGGAGCTATATTAAATGAATAATATATTCCTCTGGGGCCAGCTCTGCATCTAGAACCGCTGGAATATAGTACAGATAGTGCCTAATATTGTACACTAGGTGGGGAGCTGGAAGTAGTTACCTATATTGATCTAAAGCTGAACTTTGATATATCTCAAACTCTCAACTTGTCTTCATGTTCCATAACTCCTGCATACCTCCCAAATTTTTAAGATGTGAAAGAGAGACACCATTCATCGTAATATATTTAGGCAATGGACACACCCCTGCCAGGCTCCCAGTTATGCAGACCATTAAGAATGTATATGCCAAACATCTTTGGCAGTTAATTTTATGTTTTCATATCTTATATCTGTACATCAGACAAAAAGAGGGACAACTGAGGAGGAAAGAAGGACAGTGATATTTTCTTCCAAATAAAGGGCCAGTCATTTGGATTCATTAGGGATTCATCATGTATAATGGAACTAGTACATCATTTGTGCCCACATGGAGGTGAACTAGCTTCCTGGTGGCGCAGGATGATTTATGACCCATGGTGATACTTTGCTTTTGCTCCCTTAGACTCCCTATTGGCAGGCTCTCTGTCTCCACCACACATAACAGAGGAAGTGGTGGGTTTAACCGGATCTAAAAGGGCTTAATGCCCTTTAAAAGACTGATGAGCGCTAACGAACTTGTATATACATCCCTCGGTTTTGGGCTGAATCTCTGCTGTAAATTAGCAGTTTTAGGTAATGGGGTATGAAGAACAGTTTTTTACATGGTCCCCTCATAATTAGAATCAGTAATAAGACTGTTGCTTTTTTTTCTATTGGTGATGAAATGCAAAAGTCTGACATATTAATAATAATTTGTATATATGTTTGGTTTTGTTCAGGCTGGAGGCCAGTGCATCTGCAAAGTGAATATCTGGGGTAGACAATGTGACCAGTGCAAAGATGGTTTCTATAACCTGCAGGAATCGAATGCAGATGGCTGTCAACCCTGCCGCTGCAACACAACTGGAACGCTCAATGGAAGTAATACCTGCCACCATACTACGGGACAATGCAGATGCAAACCAAATATTATTGGTAAGTCCATTTACAAGGTTAAAATGCGATTAACTCCCAGCAATCAAACATAATTCCTTTCTGAATATCCTAACTCCAGTAAACATAACATGCTTGGAAACCCGACAACAAAAAATTTATATATTACAGTTTACCAGTGCTTAGCTGTGATGGCTGCATTTGTTTTCTTGTTACTGGCAGGATAACAAGGTGAAAATAAAGGGATAAAAACAAATGCAGTCAACACATCTAAAGATCGTATGCTGCAATATAGCACGTTTTTGTTCCTGGGTTTAGATACAATTTAAATCTAATTGTCGTGGCTTGCTTGTCTTTGTATATCAGCATTATTTTTCACAGTCCAATAAAGTTACAGTGCTCCATTTTAAAATGTTGTCCATATTTGTATGTACTTCAGCCAACAAGTAAAATGTATCAGCAAATTGCTGAAGCTAATCTGAAGTCAGATCAATAAAATCATATTTATATTTCTGATGCCCAGTTATGTTTTAATCTTATCATGTATTCTGATTTACTGTTGACAGTCCATACAGGGCAGCAGGGGAGTGTCTGTGGCTGCTGTGTGCAGAAGCCACTGTTAGAGTATTGAAGCCACTGGCACACCTCCAACATCTCCTCCTATGTAGTGGGTTTTGCTGAATGGGTGAAGCATGTTTCCCTAAATCCCTCCCCCAGATCAGCATCTGTAGTACCACTCTATAGCTAATGCTTTTGAATAAAAAGCCTCTACAGCAGCACAATTTTACCTTTTCTCTGCTCCCCTATTGCTCTTTTCAGCCATGAGGGCATATGTAAGGAAGCCCTTTGTATGATCCAAGACACTCTACTTGGAGCTTACACATGGTTGAGCACTGTCTCTCTGTCCCAATGGAACAACACTGCACTAATCATCAAGCAGATACACTATAGAAATTGAGTCACATGATCTCTCATACCCAAAAGTGCCAGATATTTTCTTTGCTTCTAGGAGGATGTATGGAGCACCAGGAAGTATGTGCTGCTGGAAAGATGCCATTAAAGGAGAACTATTGGGAGAGTAAAATGTACTCTTTCCAATAGTGTGAGCCAGTGTGGGACACTACAGCTCACACAGACTGGCTCTTGAGACCTGAGTGATCACAAACCGCTGAGCGCTCAGCTCACTGCTCCTTCCTGCAGAGAGCAGTGAGCTGACAGGGATCCCCCTCCCCTCTCTCTGTTCCTCCAGCACTCCTTGGAGGGACAGACAGGGGAGGGGGTGGGAACAGCTGGCTCTGGCTCTAGAATTTTCAAAAACCTAGATTCAGATTTTCATTGAGGAAACAGAGAATTAGCTAGCAGGCAACGAATGCCTGGGTGAACAGTAAAACCACTCCTGTGGAGTATAGGTTGAACCCGCTGGACTTGTGTCTTTATTCAACCTGACTAACTATGTAACTATGAAGCCTTTATCACACTGTTAGTTTTAATGTAACTCCTTTATAAATGATTGGTGCAAACCCCTAAAGTGTTACGCCTATGAAAAAAATTGAACAAAAAACATATTCAGTACATTTCTAACGAAATGTTCATTTTCATTTCCATGTTCTGTTTATTAAAAAAAACTGCAACTACAGATAAAATACCGGTTAGTCTGCCAGAAATCTAGTGAGCTCCTAACTTCCTGTTTTGATCGATAACACAGTGCCATTGCTAATCTGAAATCACAAGCAGCATTGCCATCCTTGTCTGCTGGACCACAGAACTCCACCTCTCTCTGTCTCCACACTTGTGCATACATGGATTTCTTTACCAGCAAAACAGTGCTGCTGCCTTGACTTCTGAGAGCCTGCTCACAGGCTGTGTGTTGGGAAAAGGCTCTTGGGAGATGTAGTTGTATGCCTATGTCAATAGGAAAAGACTTCCCAGAAGCTGTTTGTGCAAACATTTTAGAAGTTCTCTCTCTCTACAGGAACAAGGTAAAAGAAAAGAATATTGCTGGGACATGCTCTAGAAGGGAAGAGGGGGTTAAATTTGGGCAATGCCTGGACATACCATTTAAAAGGTACCTGTCAGGGCAGAAATATGGGATCTGTCCTCACCTACCTTTCTCCAGAGGTGTAAGTTCTGAGGCTCCTATCCTTATCTTGGCTTCACTACTATGCAGATTAGGGGTCCCAGCTTCACTTGCTGAATGCTTATTCTTGCCCATTGACCAAGAGGCATGGAGCTTGCACTTTAAAATTTAAAAAAATCAGCTTCTGAAATTTTTCTGCTCTCAGGTTCCATACAAACAAAGCCCACAAATACAGCATAGTTTTCATGATATCACTATATCCTCGATGTTGTCAAAATAGTTTAATCTGCTCACTGTATGTACGTCCCTTTAGGTAAATTAGTACTTTTCAAAACTGTTTTAGCTGAAACAAGTTCTAAGCAAATAATATAAAAAAAATGAACTGTTCCTATGAAATGCAAAATATGTCAACATAATTCCACTGATCACGAACATTGGTCGGGTTACTTATCAAGGGCTATATAATTTTAATTTTGTAATTCAATGCCAAGCTGATTATAATAAACTGCGGGCTCCTGCGTTATTTATCATGTTCCTTTACAAGACATTCTTTTTTGTTTGTGGCTCCCACAGGTATTTTTCAAAAATTAGATTTGATTATAGCAATTTATTACTTTCAGAATATTTGAGGGGTGCTACAGCTACATAAGGACAAAATTTATCAAGTGCCTGAAATACACTGTGCATATAATACATTTTGAAATGTTGATGTATGGGAATATTATGATAAAGTGAGCCAAGGATTGCGGGCATACCTGTCTGAATATCTTTGTAGAAAGCTAAAGCCATAACCAATTTTAAACACTTTTACATTACGGAAGTTTTGTTTTTTTCTCGTGTTGCTGGTGTGAAGAGTTTTACACGGTGAAGCTATAGCTTATTTTAAAAGCATAGCTTTGTGATAATACACAACACATACAAATCGTTTTGTGTACACGCTACATTTGCAGATATATAAACTGGTAGAAAGGCAAAGTGGAGGTGCTGTCTGTAACAACCAATAAGGACATTGCTTTTATTTTCATACGGCATGAAAAAATGTAAGCTGAAATCTGATTTTTCATTTCATGGACAACTCCTTCACATTACCTTTCCATAAATGTCAGAGATGTGCACATTGTATAGTTTTATTTGAAAATTGAAATCATATCTTATTCACAGCGAAACTCCAGGCCAACAGGTAAAATACACATGTGGACTTTTTTATTTGCCAAGTGATTAACGCATTTTAAACACAGGTCAGCAGATTCCTATTTACCTCAATAGTACAATGGGGGTGACCGTTCTGAGTTCCGTATTTGACTACTTTCCTTTGCATTTCTCTGAATGCACCAAGTCTCATTGGAGATTAGTCTGCATTGCAGGCAAAGCAGGTCAACTTTACTAACGCATGCATTTAAGCTTCCCAGCGTTCAAATGTAATCGCCTGTGTTTGACGGCAACTTCTGTGTACACAAGCTCTAAGTCCATCCAGTCACTTTGGCAATTGATATACTTCTGCCAGAATGCATGACTAAAAAGGTGACCCCCAGTTTGTTAAGTAATACAGCAATGTAGCCTCCCTGGCCACAGCCTCCTGAAAGGGCAGCAACACATTAATATGTTATCTCTCTCCTGCAGTCAGCGTGTTTCCTGTGAGCACATGCACATGCAGCAGGACCAGATTGGCACTTAGCTTAGCCACAGCTCTTACACTCCTATTCTGCTGTGCAGCGAATCACAAAAGATGCTATCTAGAAAGATTCTTATTATATGTGTATGTTAAAATACATTTAATTAACTTTAAATTAAAATTTTTCTTAACCCTTGCATTTTGGGGATAAGTGCTTGTTTTCACCTAGGTGTGATCCTTGGAGCCAGCTGGCTGTTAGACCAGTCCTTCCAATCTATCACCTCCTCTGCTTCAGCTGTCTAAGGTTTCTAAGTCATCGCGTCCAATACACTGTGGGGGGAATTTATCAAAACTGGAGCAGACAAAATCTGAAGCAGATTTGCACTGCAGCCAATCAGCTTCTCTATCTCATTTTCAAATCTTACCTGAGCAAACTGAAGGGAGACACTGATTGGTTGCCATGGGCAACTGCTCCAGATTTTGTCTGCTCCAGTTTTGATAAATTCCCCTCTGCGTATTTGACATAAGGACGCTGAGGGACATACCATCGCTGCATCTTTAAAAACTCTCACCCTCTGCTGCTGAATATGACCCATGAAATTAGTTGTTTTACTATATCTGCACTACATGGCTTACATTCTGTTCATCTAGCTCAGTTACAAATATAGTTACTGCCCAAGGTCAGTCTACAGAAACCCACTGCAGCTTAACCTGGTGACCCCCTGGCTTATACAGAAAATAGATCAAGGCATAATCTAGTCATCGCTACATAAGAGATATTTAATAAAGTATTATACATACTGTGGCAGTGTAAGCCAATGCCACGGTGGAGGATGGCGACCTTGGCACCCAGGACTCTCAGCCAAAGGGGCTGAGAGGGTCCAGAAAGTAAAGCATGTTATAAGGAAGAACCTGGCTTTTCAGGTTATTCCAGGTTTTCCTATTTGCAGCTGGGATCTGGAGCTCTGGAGATTTCGTAGAGCTCTGGGTGGGATGAGATCTCCAGTCCTGGGGCCAGGTGTTGCCAATGACCAGCCTGGGCTAATCAGGTGGCTGAGAGCAGCCTTATCAGGAAGCCAGCCCAGTGCTCAGGGGAGTGTTGGAGTTGTGTGTGTGCAGGGAGCACACGGACACAGACCACCTCGGGTGCGTGCTGGACGCACACGGAACAGCCAGGGGTGGCTGGGAGCGGTCAGGAAGGTCGGTGACCCTAGGACCTGCGGTACAGACTGCTGGGAGAGCAGAGCGAGTGCCCACGAGGGGAGAGGTCAGGAAGGTCGGTGACCCTAGGACCTGCGGTACAGACTGCTAAGAGAGCAGAGTGAGGGCTCACGAGGGGTGAGCAGCGTGAGT